TTACAAGTAAGCAACCTGCTCTTCTTCGTCGTGGCCTCTGTGCATCACACATATGGGCAGAATAACAAGCTTACCCCAACTGGAGAAGGGAGGTGTCATCAACGAAGGACAGAAGAAAGAACAGCTCTGCCAAAAGAGCAATCTTGTCTGGCACGGACATTGAGCCTATAGTGTCTGGCGAAGATATACGGGGTAGCCCAAGTGGCCGCTCTGCATACATCTTCTATCGGGACCCCTGATGCAAAGGCCGAAGCAGCAACAGCTCTTGTAGAATGACCTCTTGGAATAGATGGTAAGACCAATTTAGCTAACTGGTAAGACAGAACAATTGTATTCACTATCCATTTAGAAAGTCATTGGGAAGTGACCGGATAGCCTCGGTCATGTTCCGAGTATTTCACAAAAAGTCTATTGGAGTGTTGAACAGACTCAGTCCTGGACCTATAAAAGGCTAAGCAACGACAAACGTCCAGCATATGCAGAGATCTCTCCATCGGATATGAAGGTGCTGGAAAGAAGGCTGGTAAAACAATCTCTTGCTGCATGTGAAACGAAGTAGCGATTTTTGGAAGAAAAGACGGATCCAGCCGTAGAACTACCTTTTCCTTATGAAAATTCAGAAAAGGGGGGGTCTACCCTAAGGGCACAGAGTTCAGAAGATCTACGGGCTGAAGTAACTGCAACGAGGAAAGCAGTCCTCCATGAGACAAGGCGTAGATCGATCGTTGCCATGGGTTCGAAAGGTGGTCGAGTCAGTGCTTGTAAAACCACTGAAAGACTCCAAGTGGGCATCAGGGGCCTTATTGTTGGATGGAGGTTACTCAATCCTCTCAAAAATCTTTTAATCAAAGGTTGAGAAAAAATGAAGAAACCATGTGCAGTTCCACAGTAATGAGAAATCGCTGCTGTATATACTTTTATGGAAGAAGGTTTAAGTCCAGACTGATGCAATTTGAAGAGGAATTGAAGAATCTGTTGAACAGAAGCCGAGGATGCCGGAAACGAGTGTGATTCAGCAAAGCTAGAGAATCTACGCCATTTCGCTGCATACGATTTTCTAGTGGGTGGCCGTAAAGCAGATTCGAGAATATATCGCAGATCTGGATGTAAGATCTGTGGAGCAGAGGAAGTAGGGATCACTGGTGGCGTCAACACCTGTGTATCACATCCGGTTATCCAATCCTCCATGCAGTCAGTTTCAGGTGTCGAATCGTGCCCTCCCTCTGGGTAATGAGATAAGGAAGAAGAGGGAGTTGGAGAAAATCCTCCCGAGAGATGTGAAGGAGAGTTGAGAACCATGGCTGGCGTGGCCACCAGGGGGTAATTAGTAGCCCTGTGGCCCTTTCGTGAATGATCTTTGCCAACACTCTCATGACGAGGGGAATCGGTGGGAAAGCGTAAAAAGTCATGTCGTTCCAGGGGATCATGAAAGCGTCCCCAGACGACCCCTGTCCTATCCCAGCTCTGGAACAATAGTTCGTGCATACCCTGTTCTGTTGTGTGGCAAACAGGTCTATGTCTGGTTGACCCCAGCAGTGAAACAGTCTGTCGCGAACCCGACAGTCTAGTTCCCATTCGTGTGACCGCGACATATGTCTGCTCAAGAGATCTGCGTCTATATTGTCCATGCCTGCAAGATGAACTGCTAGAAGGGTGATACCTCTCGGTATGCACCAGTCCCAAATCTGCATGGATAGGCGGGCTAGTTTCTGGGACCGGGTTCCCCCTTGTTTGTTCAAATAAAAGACCGTAGCCATGTTGTCCGAGGTCACCTGGACGACCTGGTGGAGAAGCACGTCCTCGAACGATTGCAGGGCTTTGCAAACAGCAAGAAGTTCCAGGAAGTTGATGTGGTTCCTGGAATCCCAGGTATGTAGATCGGAGCAAATGGCTCCCCATCCCAGCAGAGACGCATCGTACCGAGGTCGAAACGGGACACCGACATTTAAATTGGCTGGTTCTATCCACCATAACAGGGACTGAAGAACGGAGACCGGAAGTCGAATCCGTTTGGTGGGTGGATCTGTCTGTGGTCGGAACTTCCCGTTGAAGAACAGCTGGAGAGGGCGTAGCCTGAGTTTGGCATGCAGAACCACAGCGATGGATGCGGACATGTGTCCCAACAGGCTCTGGATAGATCGGGTGGGGACAGTTCTTTCTTGTTGGATCTGAGAGATGGCATGTTGAGGAAGAAAAGTTCTTGCCAACGTCGAATCCAGCCGGGCTTCGATAAAGTTGATCGTCTGTGTAGGGAGAAGAGAAGACTTCTGTTGATTAATACAGAGTCTGAGGTCTTGTAATAGAGCACATGTAACCTCAACAGCAGACAAAAGTCCTGCTTTTGTGTTGGAAACCAACAACCAATAATCAAGGTATGGGTATATCCGAATTCCACGTAAATGAAGTTGTGTGCAGACAGGAGCCATACACTTCGTAAAAACCCTTGGTGCAGTGGCCAGTCCAAATGGTAACACCTTGAATTCATAGATTTCAGAGTCCACCGCAAAACGAAGGAAGCGCCTATAACTTGGATGTATTGAAATATGAAAATAGGCATCCTTCAAATCCAGTGAGGTGAACCAATCCCCTCTTCCCAGCAATGGAAGTATATTTTGGAGTGTGGTCATCTGAAACTTCTTTGGTGTTATGAATCTATTGAGAGCTCTCAAGTCCAATATAGGTCTGAGACCCCCATCTTGTTTCGGGACCATAACATATCTGGAATAGATATTTCTATCTATTCTATCTACGTGGAGTCCCTCCAATAACGATAAACGACGAACAGCTCCTTTAGTAAGGAGTTGGTGAATCTCGTCCAGCAGTACCGATGAGGTTGGTGTAAAACGGATAGGATTCGGTGATGGAACAACGTCGAATTCAATTCCATAGCCATGCCGGATGATGGATAACACCCACCCATCAGATGTGATGGACTCCCAAGTGGGGAGCCGACTTTTCAGCCGGTCCCCAAATGAGAGAGGGGAGGGTAAAGTTGGGAGGAGAGGAGAGGCGCTGTCGCCTGTCCGTGTCAAAGCGGCGGCGGCCTGCTGGAAGTGCTGGGATTGTTGTTGTCTGCGGTGTTGCTGGCGTTGATGTGGTTGTTGTTGCCGAGGCTGAAATTGTTGGCGGTATTGTAGGCGTGACCATGACCACTTACGTCGAGGCAGGGATTGCAGTTCCATACGACGGGCCGTCATTCTGGATTCATGGATTTTCTTCAGTTTGCTATCCGTCTTCGCATTGAAGAGACCGGATCCGTCAAACGGATCTCCTCAATTCTCCACTTCATTTTGTCCGGAAAATTGCAATTACGCAACCAGCGTGTCTGCGGAGGGAAATGGCACCGACAAGCGACCTCGAATCAGAATCAACATGGTGCCTCACTGTGGAGAGCTGTTGCACCGCCACCTGCATAGCTTCCTTAACAAAGATTTTTGCAAGTTCGCCCTGGTTTCCTGGGAAGGTGTCAATGATAAGAAAATATTGATAGCGCGCCAGGGTTGCCTCATAATTGGAAATTCGTAATCCAAGGCCCGAAGCTGCATTTATAGCTGCGTATAAATGGCTGCACTTATCGGTTCTGTGCCCTTCCCCCAAACAAAGGAGGCACAGGTCATGCAGGTCTGCGGCGGGCATTTTGGAGCTGCACTTCCTGCACTTGCGGAACGCCACCCGTTGCACCATCGTAGAAATATAAGAAAAAGGAGATAGTAAAGCGGGAAAGTAATATTTTTGAGTTTTGTTTTGTTTTTTTTAGGAACAAGAAAGAGAAAAATATGGTGAAAAGTTAAGAAGTAAGTGAAATACTAACAACAACAGGAGCGAGGGAATACTAACTTGGTAAGGAAAAAAGAGAGAGTTTTTCAACGAGCGAGAGCTAAGTAATGATCTAAGCGAGAGCGAAGCGGCACGAGGCACAATGAACGGCGGTCGCAAAGACTGGAAAATGGCGGACACTCCGCTCCTTATATAATGCTGGGGGGGGAGCGCAGTTCCCGCCAAAAACCGTTAGCTGTTAATCTTCCGGCCAAAGGCACTGCGCAGGCGCAGAACCCATATGTGTGATGCACAGAGGCCACGATGAAGAAGTTCCCTTAAGTAAAACAGCTTCCTCTGTATCCTTGCTGCAGAGGAACCTGGGCAAGCCACAGCAAGCTCAAAATGCAGGAACAGAGAAATGGGAAATAACTTCACAAAGAAACAAAACGAAACCAAGTAGATACCACAACAGTTACTTCAGGAGTGGAATCAGGACTGTGGCCATCACATCATCTTGTGGTTAGTTAATTATAGAGTGTGTGAACGAGAGCTGCCTTTTTTCAGTCCTGACATAATCCTGACCAGTCTTACTGGATAACCCAGAGTAGTACCATGATGAGGAAAGAAGAAAAAAATCCCTGTTTCCATATTGTTCATTAGTACACATACAGTACAGAAGTGGTCTCTCTTGACTGACCCACCCCTTGCAAGGCAGCCAGGACTAGACTACAATGATGAAGCAAGGTGGAGGTACTCAGCAAAGCTGCTGGAGGCCAGAAGTACCGGAGGAGGGCATTAAGGGGGCAGCCGACAAAAGTTTCAGGCTGTGCGCAGCACAAAGACAGCCCTTGTGGGGCCAGAGAGGGCCACTGCATAATCAACAATGGACATACTAGAGGGGAGAGGGGGTTATGGCAGCTGTGTGTGGGGGGGAACTGCAGGGAGGACTTGGGCTGGGTTTATTATCTCCCTCAGCAGCTGCCTAGTCTCACCCATCCTCTGTACACATGCTGAATCACACATGTTCAGATTTTTACAACATAACATTCACAAATAAAACTATTTCACTGAGCTCCTACTTTACTGGACTGGGGAATAATGAATCATGTTATTCAGGTAACTGGAGTCAGGTTTGCTTTTTGATGTCCCATTTCTTCCACTCGCTAAATTCCCAAATATAAAATTCCGGAAAGAAGAGAGACTGACAAAGTTACAGGAAATATGCAACATTTTTTGCTTACGTAGCAAGGATACAATCCTGTGATCACCAGATAGCATCCAAATGGCCATAGAAGAATTCAGGATCTTGGAGCCAACCTCAGAAATTTGCCGCAAGGTTGGAGCTGGGACTCTGAGTGTCCTTTTTCTATGTAAAGAGCAACATCATCTGTGGCTCTGAGGCCACAAGAGCGGCACTGGAGTTGTAAGTTTTGTGGGCATTCCAGGCACCTCCCAGCACAGGATATCTTAGAGATTCTGCAGCCTCCTCTCCTCATATCCCTGAACAAAATAATTAGACAATCAAAACTGGCTAAGTGTTTTGCAGCGTGGCCTCTATAAGATGCCCACAATCCTCTGAGTCTGGAGAGTTACAGGCAAACCTGACCAAACTGCATTGTTAACAACTTTAACTGAATGTCAAAATAATTTCCTTAATTGATATGTACTAAGGTGTTTCTGGAGCTTGAAATAGTCATAAGTGTTTCAGGTTAATTCTTGTGCTTCATTTAAACTGTAGCCTGCTTGTAATCTTAAAGACTTACAACTGTAATTGGACAAAAACATAAGCAGATGACTCTTTTATTAAAAGCACTCTGTATTAATATTTTCAATATTCAGAAACATGTGCCTATGAAACTTGCTTTAACACACACAGAGAGAGATAAACACAGATGTACACAAACCACTAAAACAATCTATTTTGAGCATTTAATTCACAAAACATAACACAGAGAGGGACTCACCAACAGAACAAAATAACACACCTCAAAATACACATGATATGCAGACACATACATAAAATCATGGAAGAGTTATACTCAATAATGCTGAGAAGAGAAACTATACCTTCAAGTCTTGTGCTGATATAATAGAATCTACCATGTACACCCAAATTTATACTAACAACCTAACAGTAAATAGGAAAATACATTCCACAGAAACATTGACAGAACCACATCTCTGTTGCTGATTTTGTTAAGTGTAATTCTAGAAGAGCATCTGGACTTTTGTCATATGAAGCATATTTTATGTTGCATTCCTTTGACCTTCTCCATAGATATAGACAATGGCAACCCTTTTACTTACATTTTGGCAAAAATATAACTAGAAATAGGCATGGTTCTACAGGACACATGGTACACACCTATCCATAGGGGTATAAGAAACTGTTCAGACTATGGGTCCTGGCAGCAAAGGTTCTCCCATGTTCCAGGAAGGAGTCCTTCCTAGTCCTATCTGGAGATGCTAGGGACTGATCCTGGGACCTTCCACATGCAAAGCATGTGCACTAGCACTGAGCTACAGCCCCTCTCTGTATGCTCCTATAGATAATAGGTCTCCCTAAAATTATTTCTATGCCACATTTCAGGGCGCAACCCTCTCAATGTAACATATGAGATAAAAAGCACACCTACTGGATTCAATTAAAAGAGATAGATACTTGTTCACTAAGTACACAAACATATATACAGCCAACACACAAAACCATACAAATTCAGACGAGACACACGCACACACGGATACTGACAAACTATGCCTTCTTTTATACATGTGTTGTTCTAAGGCAAAGCAAGCAGTCTTAGCTTATTGGCACAAAAACAGCAGAATGTACCTGTGATGCCTTAAGACTGACAAATGCCCTGTGACATAAGTTTTCATGGACTATATACATGGTTAGTGTTAGGGGGGCCTACGGAGAATAACCAACCCTCTGGGCCTTCCTCCAACAAATATGTGCCATGTGCACAAGCACCAAATTTCTATTTGCTAGTATGACTTCTTAACCAGGTGTGGAGGAAACACAGGTTCAGCTATAACAGACAGACCAACAAGGTATCAACTGTGTAGACAGACAACATAGGTGTCTCACTCCCTAGTTAAAGATCTTGCATTTCAGCCTTCCTGAATCTGCTGTGCTCCAGATGATTTGAATGGCAACTCTCAGCCTTCCTGACTACCAGCCATAGTGGCTGTAGTTATGGGAGTTCAGCTCCAAAACATCTGGAGGATACCAGTTTGGGGAAGAATGTTCTATTCCAAGCCCCTCCCTGTAAAGCAAAGCACTTCAACATTTTAAATTACACTCACATTGCACATCAACCCTCCTCCAGCCATGAACACTGACTGAGCAAGATGAAAACCAGCTCATTTGGATTGCTTGTTGCGCAGTAAACAGAGAACACAAGCAAGCAAGGCATGTACAAAGCAGAGCGCCTCAGACAAAAAAAAAAAGAACCATACCACATGCTACAGACCAAGGCAGCATATTCAAGGGTTAACAGTCAATCTAATCGAGAAGAAAATTCCTTCCTGATCACAACAGGGTCAATTCACAGGCCATGTCTAATGTGGTGAACTGAGCAGCAAACCGACACAGAAGCTACCCATATTACAACAAGCCTGATTGTTTGATGGTGCCACAAACGGTTGTTATCAAGGAGCAGAACTGGCAGTCAGTACAGACCACAGCAGGTTAAATGGACCAGTGTCCTGACTTGGTATAAGGCAGCTAAAGGTATGTGTTCACCAAGGAACCCCAGGAAGAAATGCTGGTTGTTAGGGATCTGCTTCTGTTTTTCCAGTCCTGCCTTTTGATAATTGCTTTCCTGCAGATCTGATCAGAAAACAAATGCCCAATTCCCATTCCCAAATCACTACTTTCCTTGCTTCAGGAGGGTGAGGCCTGACCTGGAAATGACAAAGCCTAGCTGAAACTCCTAGAGGAGGCTATTCCCTCTCTCCACAAAGGATCCAGGGAGCCCTCAAGTAAGACTTTTACCTGGTGTTTATAAAGCACACCTTTGTTTAACAAAGTGAGTCAACAGGGATTTTCCCCCAGGGTTATTTGGCCTCCAGCTTAAGGTGCAATGAAATAGAAATGTACTGAGAGAAGAGGGAGAAAGAGGAGGTTTGTTGGAGTTGGGACAACAAAGTGTTCTATAGGGCAAGACTGTTCTGTACCCCAATGCGTATTTGTTGGCTTTTTAGGACTGCTCAACAGGGTCATGGTGCTTTTCTTCCTCAAAGGCTTAACCATGTATGACACTGCTGCTGATTAAATGTTGTATTCTTCTCCACAAAAGAAGAGGGATTGTCTTTAGGAGCATCTTTATCTGAAAATCTGAAGCTGTACCACATTCAAATTGTAAGCCATCACTACATGCTATAAGACCACTGTTTCACAAGGGTGGTTGTAGGGAAAAACTGTTAAGAAGAAGCTGCATCACACTCCATTTGGAAAACTCTCTGAAGGGTAGGATATAAAGTCCTGTAAACCAAACAAATGAATAACCCTCTTCTGGTCTGCTGACACTCCCGTGAATAAGCCCCCATGCAAATAGTTGCTATGAAATGAAGTGGAGGATGGATTTGGGTTTGAGGGCATGGTCCTTGTATTGATAGACACAAGGGGTCCTCTACCACCCAGTGATTTCTCCTTTCTAACACCTCCCCCCATTACCTCAGCAAATAAAGATACAGGGACACATTTGTGGAGCTAATGTGTACTAATGCCATTGGGAACAGGAGGGGAAAGGAGAATAGACAGCAAAACCTTGGCATGATGGCGACTTCCACTTGACATTCAGCACAAGCCAATCTATGAGCCAATCTATGGTTTCCCACAAGTTAAGGGAGTTTTGAGAGTTAACTCCAAAACATAAAGTAATTCCAGCTCAAAAAATGCTGGCTTTAAAGGGCCATTGGCTTGTATCCATCCATTACAAGGAGACTCCTCATATCCTGAAACAGCACTCCTGGAAAACGCTTACTTCCAGGCCCACTGCCTCTCCATCCAGCCCACTGCTTCACTTCACTTCTCAGCCTTCCTTGCCCCTAGGCAGCAATTAGACTTGCAGTTTTTAAAGAAAGCTTCTATTGGCACCAAGGAGTATTTTTTTCCACAAGCTTCATCACAGTGCAAATGTGCCTCAGAAAGTGAATGAATGTATATACGTGTGAGAGAGATTGTGCATGGATGTGTTTGAATGGGAATGGCGGTGTGTGTATGCTTAAGACTGCCTGTTTTAATTTTTACGCCATACCCTTTTTGCTTTGGCCCTCCCTACAACTAGAAAGTTAGACATTAGGTGATGGTTGATTTTCCACCCCTTGCTTAGAAGCTTTCTCAAGGGGTGGGAAACTTGGCAGTCCACTGACAGGGAACATAAGAGGGTAAGAAATCTGCTGGATCATGCCAAGGACCCACTTGGGCCAGCTTCCTGTCTCCCACAGTGGCCAGTCAGATGCCACTGGGAAGCCCACAAGCGGGAAAAGCCCTTTCCCACTATTGTCCCCAAGCAATTGGCATGTAGAGGCCCCTGATACTGGAGGCAGCATGTAGCCATCATGACTAAAAGCCACAGATAATCTTACTCTCCATAACTGGTCTGACCCTCTTTTAAAGCCATGCACAGTGGTGGCCATCACTGCATCTTATGCTAACATATCCCACAGTTTAACTGTGCTCCGTTTAAAGATGTACTTCCTCGTATCTGTCCTGAATTAGCCACCATTCCGCTTCCAGATAGACAGGCTGCTTTGAAATACAGCTTGTCCACCATTACTGAACGTTTTTAACCTACCTTAACACACCCACTTTCTCAAATTGCCTGGGGGTATCTCCACAGTCTATCCAGCCAATACACTTTTCATGTGGAACAGGGGCTGAGGACCCTGTTTCCATGGTGGGGGTAAGAGCCATTTTCCATGCAGAGCAAAGCCAAACGTGTAGCACTTCCTTTGAATACCCTTCCCCTCCTCCTCTCCCACTCCTCCAGGCCTGTACACTGAATAAATCACAGCTCCCATTTGAGCAAGCGGATCCATTAAAGTGACGGAGAGAGAGGTGTCAATAATTTATCGCCTCTTTTATATAATTTAAGAACTTCCTCAGCGGAGAGCAAGCACTGGCAAAGTACAGATTTGACAAGATTTTGATGCGTGATGGTGTACATCAAGGAGGGGAAAGACCTCCTTCAAACAGAGGGGGGGAAATAGAAAATAAGCATTTTGTTTGCATTTTTGGCATGACCACTTGCAGACAGAAGAGGGATGCTGGGACATTCCCCTGCCAAACAGCAGCAGAGAGCATTGTCGATATGTCCCTCATTATAGGTCAAGTACTGCACACTGTGGAATTTGTACAAATCCTGTTATTAGAAAAGCCTTTTATCTGAAATTGTCATGTAAGATCACAAGAACAGCCTGGCTTGATCAGACCACAGGTTCACCATTCAGCAACCCTCCCCACTCCTCCCTCCCCCCCTCCCTCCCCCCCTCCCTCTCTCTCTCTCTCTCTCTCTCTCTCGCGCACACACACACACACACACACACACACACTAGTGACCACCACCACCACCACCTGGTAACCATCAGTATACCCCTTCTGCAGACACCATTTAGGTGTACCCCACTCTTTCCTCTTGTTCCCATATACTGCAACATGCTTGATTGCCTTTTAAAGTGAACTACCTAAATAGACAACCTCTATTTCTCATCAATGTTCTGACAAGATTTACAGGGGGTAGGTAAGGGGTACAAATGAGTGGTAACCTCACACTCAGTTTGTTCACACATTGGCTTCATGGTAGGGAGTAAACAGGACTATGACTGGTTTTTTATTTTGCTTAATATAGCAATTTAATTCTGTATGACCAGAATTTGCAGTGTATTTTTATTCTAAGCAGCTGTGGGTGCGTTGGAAATATTTGGAACAGAGCTATAGTACAGAAAGTGCCCAATGTTTTTTGTTGACCCTAACTCAAGCCACTCCAATGCCAGGAACTACTATTAGCTTCAGAGGGGAAAATACCACCACAATATGGGTGCCAATGTTTTTCTACCTTGTAGCAGCTGAGGAACATCTATTAATCTATATCAGCTCCCAGTCCACAACGGCTTTTGCATAGAGAAGAACTTCCCAAGCTTCTTAGGCTACACACCTAAGCCGAGCGGTGCGAGAATAAATACAACCATTTGCAAAATAGTTATCTGAATGATTTTTATTAGGGGCAGCCCCTTAAGCTTGTACAGTCAAAACAGCTTATCATATTTCTGAAGATACAACCACCCTAACCCCTTCCCAGAGTACTAAGAGATGAATTCCTGCTTTATTTGCAATATGTATAGATAGGCAGATATAGTGGGATGCTTCATCTGCCTAGAGAAACAGATGTTTTGGATTAATTTAATGGAGTATATCAATGAACAATCAGATGAGGCCAACTGGCAGTGAATTGGATTTTGGAGACTTCCTTGGCAGAAACTAATTCTGTGGCCTTGGTGAAATAATTAACTTTCAGCTTCATACAATCACAGACTTGGAAGGAATCTTTGAGATCATCTAGTCCAACCCTGTGCTCAGTCCAGGATGTAACAACACCATCCCTGATAGATGGCTGTCCAACCATACCATCAAACTAGGAGAGATGACCATCTCCTAAAACAGGCTGTTCCACTCTTAAACAGCTCTTGTTGCCAGAAAATTTCTCCTAATCACCTTCCCTGCAATCTCTAGTCATTATTTCTAATCTCTGGATATTTGGAGTGCCAGAAAACAAGTACTTTCTAAACCAAGCCCTTCAAGATACTTGAAAATCATACTCATGCCTCCCCCTAAGGCTAAAAATACCCAGCTTTTTCAACCTTTTTCATATTGATTTCCAGTCCCCTCACAATTCTGGTGACCCGCAATTTCTTCCCCTTTATAAAAGCAGAAAAGGCCTGCTTGACAAAGACTACTGTGAAGAAGCATATGTAAAAAACTACATGTACACTTTACTAGTCCAGATTAGAACAGCAGAATACAAACCCATAACCTATTAAAAGGCAGATTCCCCTTTACTGCTTGGTTTAGGTTAAAGCAGGGACATTCAACTGCTGTAGCACTTGCAAGTGTGGAATCAGACGCAAACTGTGTTTAGCATACATAATCTAGAAGGAATGAATGTCAGCGCTGTTTGTGCCAGATACCTGCCCTTGGCGGATGTCCACATTCTCTGCTTCTGCTTCCCATCCTTCCACTCACTAGCAGGTTATGTGGAAATAGCAACCTGGATCTGAACCAGATGTTAATGCAACACTTGAGGGAACCCTCCTTTCCTTCCAAGGGGGAATGGCTCTCCCACTCAGTTGATGGGAATCCACATGGCTTTGCTTTCCTTGCACATTTTGGGTAGGACACCCACCTAGACAGACCTGAGACATCACCACAGGAGCGGTTCCTATTGATCTGTATATTCCTTCCCCTACCCCTGTCCCCCTGCAGAAACTCCCACTTCAGAGCTAGCAGGATGCCACTGAATAAATAGTAAACGTGTCCCTGCTGAGACGCCACATATCTCAGCTGGGTCAACAGATACCTCTCTGCACAGCAGTGTTTGCATGGCCCGTCTCAACTTGCAGTCCCTGCTCTTAATCCATGCCCAGTGGCAGCCTTGGAGCCAGGCCAGAGGAAAGGCAAACAGCTGGCTTACTTCCAGTGCTTAATTTAATAGAAGTTATTATTTATTAAAGCACCTATAAATTAAGCTCTGCACAAAATATAAGAAAAAGACACACAGGCTTTTAATCTAAATATACCCCTTTCCCAGAAAAAAATTAAAAAGTAGAATACAGATATGGAGTAGGAAGAAAAGCAGCTTCAGTAAAAGAAAAGCAATCTAAGTTAAAAGAATAATTGGCATTCAAGTCTGCCTGGTGAACACACTATTTGCCTTGGAAGTGGTATGCTCACTTATGTATCACCACAATGGAGGTCATGTATCACCAAAAAGAAGACACAGGTTTGGATAATGTTTGCATATACCTATTTGGAAATTACTATCGTTTAAATTGGAATACAATGCATCTCATCTCTTTGCCCAGCTTCTAAGATATTAAAGGAATTTTTCTCTGGCTCTAGGATGATCACTTTTTCACAATTATTGGTTTGAGGATTTCGAGTTAACTCCTAGTACTGAAAAAGGGTTCCTAGGTTGTGTCCAGCTCAAACTGTGTCCTGCCTAACTTACACCAAAGGGGAAAAAGAGGCAGAAACATGGAGGCTGGATTCCCACATTCTTAAACTTTATCTCAGCCTTGAAAAAAGGGCAAGACAAGTTCTATTTATTTATTTAAACTATTTGTAGGGCACCTTTCTGTCCAAACAATACTCAGAGCAGCTTACAAAAAATAAAAATGACAATCTAAGAAACAGCCAGAAGCAACAAAGCTACTGACCCACACACATTTTTACTGCCTTCACATACTGTTGGAACCTGAAAGTGGCTATTTACAAGCCTCCTGTAACTCACTAACCCACAAAATACACACAGGCTGAGCTGACAGTAGAATGGGGAACCTCTCCAGCCTTGAAACAACTCCACCAAGGCACCCCGCATTCAAGCAAAAACCTCAAAAATCCAGTTCCTTTAATTAGCTTATGCTTCTCTCTCAGAACAGTTTATTAGTCCCCAAACTCTCTTGAGCTGGGCATAGCACCCAGCAGTTCTGGATCCTGGTGCTTAATGTTGCTGTAATCCACTAGCCCTGCATTTTAGACATATACATAATAAACATGTCTACTTTGAAAGGTTTACTTTGTAAAATAATCACAGGTGCTTAGGTTCAAGTGGACTCCCTTTAAGCTTTCCAACATGGAAAAGAGGAAAGGCATATGCTTACACAGTGGGAAAACGGAAGGCTCTTGATCGCAACTTCAGGCTGAGTTCTGGCATTTGCAAATAGGCTCTGTATCCCTAAAACCTAAAAGGGTCAGATTCTGCTTTTTCACAAGTATGTCAGAGCTCAGCTTCTCTATTCCCACACAACCCATATACCTCTGCTAATCATCTTTATAACACTTCTAATTTGTAAATTGATTTTTTCAGTCTCTCATTCATTCTTAGTCATAATGAAATACAATAAATATATTAAAAGACACACATTAAACATAAACTAACAAGATACTACAGTTTTCCCTTCTCTATATAGGAATTGATTATGAAATATGGTGACTAGAGTAGAACTTGAATTCCCAAAGCCAACCCTTTTAAAACTTTGGGCAATAAAGTTGCTTACTAGATTGTAAAATTGTACTCTGTTCATCTAGTCCACTCAAGTCCCTTTCCAAAGAATCCAGCGAAGAGCTTGTTCTGAATTGGGGGAGGAAGGCAAGACTCCTGGGTCTTTCCCCTCCTTCCTGTCTCCTGACAGCAATATCTCAGGGCGTGGCTGTGTGCAGCTTCCTGAAGATAAGATCGAGGCAGCAAAGGGCCCCAGCATGCTTTGAATTCCTGCGCTGGCTGGAAAGAGAGAGCGCAGCACTCTCTTCGACAAACAGCAGTGAACAGATACATAAGCAAGGGAGGCTAGAAAGATCTTTGGACTGAGTGCCTCTGTAAGGCATCGCCCGCAAGACTAATTGCCACCCCGCTAGGACATCCATCTGATCTGAGCCAAGGGTTGAACTTACTTTCAGTGCTTGCACTGGGTCCCAAAACACTTGAAATAAATGCCTCTGAGCAAGTACAGAGAGAACTTCCCTCCTATTGGAAATGCCTTTGAGCAAGTTGACGGAGAACTTCCTTCCAAAGGGGCGTAATTACCAAGCCTAGAGCTGTGGCTCCCAGGCAGTCTGGCATCCCTGTAACTCCCTTATTAGAAACAAATGGAGGCACCAGGTAATAAAGGGTTTTCTACTAATATGTTTCTCCCCCTTTTGCAGAAACTGAATACATCACAAAAACGTATATTTTTCTTTTTGCTTCTGACCCAAAACCTAGATTGAAATTCAAAATACTCAACTCTAACACATTCATGATTAAGTGATCTAATATACTTAATATTTATTTAATGTTATTTAACAACATCTACTCCCATCTTTCTTCAACAGAAGTTATAGAAGTCACAAAAAAGCCAGAAAGAACAAGGACCAGTTCACATGTAACTAAACATAGTTCAGAGTTACATGCACAAGCAGGACTGAGCCTGTCCAATGTGCTAGGCTCATGTGTTCCTCCTCCACTATGACAAGGAGTAAACCAGAATTTAGTTCCATTCTAGAACTTTCTTAGAATGTTGTTACATGGGCATCAGGAATTGCAGCTTAAAAGAAACTCTAGTTTGCCGAAGAAAAATAAACCAGGATTGGCAATTCGTTTTCTTTAGCAATTGATAGGGCACTGCCTTGGCTTGTTAATATTACTATGCAAAAATTAATTCCTTGGTTGTTTGATGCAATGTGTGAACCTGGAACTCTGCATTACTGAAGGAAAGACAACCCAATGTTTTAACTCAGCAACAAGCCACAGGCTGTTGATGAAACCAGATGCAAAGCAGAAGTGGAAAAGCAGAATGCCCACTTTTGCTTAACCCATAATTAGTCATTACATAAGAACCAGGTCTAACTTTTGAAGTAGAATTCCTGCTGCACAAATGATAACTCCTCAGAAATCTGCTGAAGTGAAACTAAATTCTGCATTATTCCTCCTCCTGGTGTGCAGGAAGAAGAAGGGGAGGGAATACACACTCATATAAACCACTGGACTGCCTGGCTGAAAGTCAGGATCACCTAATGTAAATAACAAGTATTCTAGGCACACACCAAATTCCCCATGTCTGTGTACTGCAGGGGGAAACTGCAGTAGTGGTGGGCTGTTTCTTGGAGGTTTGCTCACCATTATTGATCTTACTGAAAAAGCTCCAGATCCCACAGAGTACCATTTTAAATCTACTAGTCCAGAACCTGACATAGCTCCCTAACAGCTTCCAGGTTAACAATTCAAGTGCCTTCTCCACACCTAAAACAAAAGAATGCTTAAAGTTCTGCATCAAAAAAAAAGTCTAAACCCACAACCTGCATTAAGAAAGTAAGAGCATACGGTAAGCAGTCTATGGTGAAAACTTATACTGGTTCTTCTAGTGTTTGGAAAGGGGAAAAGGAGAATGAATCATTCAGGGCAGTGACTACTAGAAATTGTGTTCTGCCTCCTGAGATTTTACCACAAATTACCAAGCCACTTTCCAGCCTATTAGAAACAACAACCAGAATCCAAGATCCACAGAATACTTTAATTTTGCATGAAACAGCATTTCAGAATTGCAACTTACCCACAATCTTGCCTATCGACCCACAAAATGTCCCAGGATCCTCATTTTTTAGACTGCCCACTTAAACAGGAGTAAATCCTATATAACCCAGTGGGGCTAACTTCTCAATAAACATGTATGATTGATGTCCTCCCACAACCCCCCATGCCTCCCCTTAATGATGCCATCCATAGAACACCTTAAGAGAAATGCTTGGTAGCACCCCCACAATGGTGAACATCTCTGAGCTGCCAGAATTTCTATTTTCCATTTGGGTAGGCAGCTGAAGGGGAACATTATTTAAAATGTGCACAGTTGTTTATTCTTTCTCTTTCTTTACAAATGTACACTACCATATTACATTATAAGGAATATTTACTTTAGGACACAGTCAGAAATGAGATTTGGCCCATTTTTTAATCCAGCAAAAAAGGGAAAAAGAGATATACCCAAATGTACAAAAGAATGAAAAGCTTCAAAATGAGTACATGTGCCTTAGCAACCTACATCCTTAACCATAATGCATTATTTATTATAGTTATATCCCAACTTCTTCCTGCAAGGAACTCAAGGCATACTGGTAGTCCCCAAGTTACAAATGTCTGATATACTAACAAACTGTACTTAGAAACAAACTGCCATAAAGCCTATTACTTATTTTTAAATGCAGGAAATTGTCATCACCATAGAGAGAGGGGAAGTGAAAGGCCAGAGAGGGAAGCCCCCAAAGCATGCTTTCCTGTCCCATCCATCTGGAGAGGGAACTCTCTCAGCATTTTCTTGTTGCAAAGAGGAGGCACTGCTGAGTTTGTAGGGCAGGGGGAGATATTCATGATTTTTCCACTTTCACAGAAGTCCTGTGCCCCTAATTCCTGCAAATGTGGAGGGCAGACTATACATGATACAAATTCAACTTAAAGACAAATTTCAGTTTTCTCAGGGAACGGAACTATTCACAACCTGGGCACTGCCTGTACTGCATAATCCTCTCCCTCCTCCCCATGTTAATTTTCACAACCACTCTGTGAAATAGTTTAGGCTGAGAGTCATTGGCCCAAAGTCACCCAGTGAACTCCATGGCCAAGTGGGGCCTAGAACCCAGATCACCAGAGTCCCAGATTTGCACTCTAACCACTATGCCGTAGGTTTACTTGTCTCTGAGTAAGCATGTCACTGTTTAGGCTATAAATGAAAGAAATAAGAGGACTGGGTTAACCCTGAAAAAGGGAGACAAACATGTTTGTGTCGGGATGGAGGGGCAGTGTTTCATGCTCACTTCTCAATAAACATGCATAGGATTGACATCCTATCGCAACCCCATGATTCTCCTTAATGATACCATCCATACAACATGCTACAAAACATAGTTTCCTGGACATGCTATGAAAAAGTGACAAGCCCCCTACCCATGGTGGGATGTGGGAAGCCCTCTACTACGTCATGCACTTTATGCCTTAGTTTTCAATCAACTTCCTAATAACTCTGTACTAGTCTCCCACCTGATCAAACTGCATCACACCTATTTCCCATCACACAGATAAGTGTTTATGGGGAGGGGGTAAGCACTAGCAACCTTATTACATCTCATCAATTTGGCAAACAACCTCCTCCCACTTCTCCACTGAGAGACATCCAACATGCAAACAAGCTGCATTTCTTTAATGGCCAGTCCACAGGTCCCAAAGAGAGAATTTGTTCTCCCACAAATAGCACTTTTAATTTCCTCTTAATGAAATGGTCTGGGGTCTTTTTGCCTGGTTACCATCCAACTAGATCAGGCCCAAAATCCACATACGTGCTCTACATCATGGGTCCTCAAACTATGGCCCACGGGATGGATCTGACCTGTCATGCCCTTTCATCTGGCCTGCACCACCATCCGCGCCATGTGCGGGAGGCAGTGGCTTGCTCACTCGGAGATGGTTTTGGACTCACTGGGAGATCTGCAAGCGAGCAAGTTGCCACTGCGCACACCCAACGCCACCACACGCGCACCTGACGACACCTCACTGGCCCGCGTGCCCAGGCACTCCCCTCACCGGCCCACATGTGTGGCTGCCGCCTTTCAATTGGCCCCCTATTGAAAAAGTCTGAGGACCCCTGCTCTACACACACACAGAAATAAAATGTTTCAGTATTTATGCTTTTTCTTTCCAACTTATCCTATGTAGATCAAGTATTCCCAGTTTTCAGATTAAGTACTGAGGCCGGCAGACAGATCACGACTAATTCACACTATCCAAGTGGGGGGTCAAATAAGCAAATACCAGGATTCACTGGGGCTTGAACAACCCTTGGTGGATGGCTTGATTATGCCAGGTCTTTAGCTAATGAGTCCACACCATGAGCCTATAGCAGAGCATAGAAATGTTATAATAATAATAATAATAATAAAAATAACTTAAGCTCTCTTTCCTCTGACATGGGTTCCATGAAGCAGGGAACCTGTTCTTCAGAAACATATGCCCCCAGAACTTCAGCATACAGTCCCATCACTATGATTCATTTATCTCCCTCTGTCAAAAATCCAATGCAAACCTAATCTCATGTTTGTGTCTTTATATTCATCAGTTGTTACAGCTTTTATATTTTTATAGTTCATGAAGTACTGGTATGATACGTACTAGAAAACAGAGGAAAGAAGCAGCGTGATCCCTACCAACTGTGCTTACTATCATAAAAGTAAGGCCTACATACCCAGTAGGCCTCTGGGCAATCTGCAGTAGATCAGAGTTTGAAGTGGTAAGTAAATCTACAAGTTACATCCGTATGAATATTAGTGTGTAGGGGTACATACACAAGCCTACATACATGTCATGACATACTAATCGTTTATCTTTTGGCCTTAGTGTACTTCACCTGTGAAATATGAGTTCAGTTGATTGATTCAGTTCAGTTGATCTATATCCATGCAGTATAAAATTGGCTCCACCTCCTGAATAACCATTTAAAATTTGAGTGCTTGTCTCTGGCTGGAGGACTCTGGGTTCCACTAAAAAAATAAAAGATGTAGATCCCCTGAAGTCTGCCCACCCTGGTCCATATTAGATGAGCAAGTCAGCAGGTTTTGAACTGGTTACAACAGCATTCCCTACCTGGTGACTACTAGATGTTTTGGCCTACAACCCCCATCATGCCTCCCCATTAGCAATGCTGATTGAGGGTTTGTGGGAGCTGTAGGCCAAAATATCTGGAGGGCCACAAGTTGCCCATTCCTACTGTGAGACAATATACTGTACCATTTCCTCTTTACAAAGCAGCAGAGAAATATGGACAATCCTCATGCGAATCCACCTTACATATGGAGAGAATAAAAAAGGGGCTTTTGTGCAAAAAAATTTTTTGAACCCTCAGTGCTCAAATTAAGAGGGAGGTCAAACTAGACCTCATTCTTTTGAATTTTGTTCTGCCTCACTTAGATACCATTTTTGGAAAGCCACATGAACAGGAACAATTTGAATAAAAATCAGTGGCAGGAGATGAGTCAGAGGGTGGGTTTGGGGATTTCAATAAGGTTCTACTCCTGCATTTTAACCCACAATTTAAGCACTATTACCAGTACAGATAATTTGCCCAGGCCCAAATACTAAAACATTTGCGCCCAAATACTAAAACATTTGCACCGTATCAACATCGCATCCTTAGATTTCAAGAAAGAGTGTGGAATGGCCACTGAATTTGCACACAATTGGTTAAGAAGCCATGGATTTAAAGCAGGTCTGTGTACTAAATTTAAGCTAAATACTAGAGAAATAAAACCACTTACAGGGGAAAAGCATAGTTGTATACTGATGCATCCAATAAAATGATCCTGTCTTAGAAGGTCAAACTAGAACGGCTCAGAGAATCCCACTTCCTTTTCAGCTATTCTGCTTGTCAAATTTTGTGAGTATGGAACTGTCTCATTTTATCTTAGCAAGAACCTTGTAAGATATGTTCAGCATTACAGCCCCAATGGGCAACAGAAGTTTCATCTGAGGCTTTATTCTTCTTGAGGTGATAAATCTGTGGCACTTGACTCATCTCAGACTGCAGGTGGGGCTCATGTGAATAAAGTCTCTTCCATACAAAAATAAACAAATAAAAGTTCTTGCACAGCTGGAAAACTAGATTTCAAGGATAAGGATTTTAGCCTAGCCTATTCCCTAATATGCTATTTTTCCACATTCAGGGAATCTTTTGTCTGGACTATTCAGGAATGTGAGCCCCGGGTTACAGGCAGATAAGACAAAGGCTTACCTGTTTAACAGTGAGAAACTAGCTCAGGTTTACAAAATATAAACTCAGCACTCTGGCCTAATCACTGCACCATACCAGCTTTCTGGTTATGCTTGCCCTGCCCCCTCAGGCATCCTCCTGACCTCGACACAAAGCAGAATCTGTGACATCTACTGAGTGTTTCCAGCAGACCCTTTCTTTCCAAGAAGAGTACTGAACAGCTCAAAATAAAATTTAAACACAGACAAAGCTGCCTAATTAGTTTGAAGTAGCACAAAGCTATTGAGGGACATTCTCTCTTTCTTCCTATATCACCCCTGAAATGTGACCGTTAATATTTTACAGAGAGGAGACAGGAAAGGCTGGAGTGGTACCAGATGTCCACACATCCTCCCCACCACCACCACAGAAAA